CTTTCATTGCAGTCACAACTATTTAAAAATAAATTTTAATTGCAAATTTGAACTAAAATCATTTAACTAAAGGTCTCGCTTCTTTTGCAAACATATAATAACACGAGAAAATACCCATATTTAAATTACGTATTTTTTTTCTTCTGCGATATAACTTGATGTGCACCGACCATTCGTTTCGAATTTTCCTTTTATATGTTTAACATGTGTCGCTTTTATCTTATTTTTTCTTGCCCTTCAAAGTTTCTTTCGGACAAACGATGTATCCTCAAAGGAAACCTATCTTAGAAACCGCAACGGTCAATTTCCGGCGTTTTTAAGACTACATAAACAATAGAACCTCTATTTTCAGTCACCCCGTTGTATTCTGTCAGCGACGACTGACCACCCCCCCCCCCCCCCCATCCCCCTCCCCCTCCCCCTCTTAGTTCCGCATTGGAGCTCATATGATTCTCCAAAATCTTCCTCAGATTCTCCTAGATCTTAGAATAAATTTTAGAATTTCACGCATCTGGAATCAGAAAGACATTAATGATCCCCAATTGTAAAACAAAAACTCCCACCTTAATCTTTGCATATTACACGGAAATACCTCTGAGATAAAAGTCACAACCGTTGAAATCTCCGAACACATCAATTTATTCAAAATTATTCGGTGGACTTAGATTCCTAGTAATTTTAGACAATATCTCATTGATATCTCGTTATTGAAAAGCATCTACAAGCTATTTTCTCTTCCTTTCGCCTCTGACAAGAACCTGAAGGAACTGCAACAGTTAATAAATGTAAAGTAACTAAACCAACAAACCGTCCATCCAATTTTCATCTTTATAAACTTTCCCAATTTCTACAATATCTCGCATTCGCTATTTACCGTTTCTCTCTCAAGGCTGAGATATATTCCCATCTAAAAGAGTTAATTTCGTTCAATTCTTATAAATCGTGCACTTATAATCAGGAGCAGTTCAGTGCACAATCGCGCGTAGTTATTATGTGGTTCACTACATCAATTTTAAAACATGAAATAATCAGAAGATAGCCTTAGTATTTGACATGAAAAAAAGCAGCGAGTTCGCAGAGGCCCTGCCATATAGTATGTCGGAGGAAAGTCAAACAGATAGCACCTCTCGGCATCTGGGTGATGTTAATTATGCCCGTTTCAATTTGTCTTTTAGCCGACGGGGTTAGATTTTTAAACAATGGTACGGTGTTTTTATTTGGTATTTATCAACATAAATAGGCAAACATTAAAGCATTTAGAACGCAGCAGATGCTGACTGGAAAAATCGTGTTTATTTCATTCTATCTTTTTTTTCTCTGTCCCTTCAAATTACGCCTGATTAATGCAAGTCTGACGACTGCGAGAAATTGTATCCAACTCCATGCAAAGCAAAATGCTCGTCGAATTGTCTGCTTTACTGCTTGTCCCACTTGTTCGACTCTCCAGCAGTAAAGAAACGGGTTCAAAGTGGACTTTAAATGTGTTATAATACATGTAATCCCATCGATGACGACTACATTTGAAGAATAAGTTTTTCTATAATTGATCATAAATACCGTTATAAATTCTGGTACATTAAAAAACAACTAATGGTAACTGCACCCACAGTGCACTATTTACTGCCTTCCTATATCTTGCCATGTTCAGTGCATTTGGTTGGATTGGCTGTTGTTGAACATGATCTTGTACCTGAGTCTGACAATGTCTGAGAGTGCAAAGTATCTTTGTATACGAGGCGATTGAGATCACTGAGCATGACGGTATAACTATAATACTACACCCAATGGTAATTCAAGTATGTGAAATGTAAAATGATGCAGTGGCGACGGATAAAATCCAAAACGTACCTATTATGATACATGTGCGCTTTAAAGTTACTATTTGTCTGTATCCTATTCCCAACAACAGAGCGAGAGGTGTCCACGCTTATGGCCGCCAACGTCAACAAAGACACGGAACATAATGCATAGCTTGATATGAAGGCCGCGTCCCTTGCATATCGACAAAGACTCTAGCGTTCGTGAACCAAGGGTATTCAATAAGTAGCAGCAAGATGCTGGGTAACAAGACCAACCAACATATCAGTTGTTGCCAGACAACGATATAAGAGTTTCGATGGTGGATGAAGGAAGTTTCCTTGTTAAGGGCAACAAGGATTAGAAAATTTCCAAGAAATGCTGTGACGGAGAGGAAAATGTGAACTGCTGAGAAAGAGTTCCATTGTTGTTGTAACCCAACTACAACTCGTTCGAACGGCAGCTGGTTCTGATCTTAAATTATTTTCTAGATTTCCTCTTGCGAACGCTGATAAGCCAAAATTGATCGATATAAGGTTACGAATTGCCAAAATGGATCGAAAATTTTAATTCATGACAGCCTTTAATACTGAATAGCGAATATGCCTAATAAAATGTCAAAATATCGTAATATTCAATAAATTATTAAGAGAGGATTTTCAGCATTCATCGAACAAATTTGAAATATTGTGGCAAGTCACAAGTAAATTTTGCCGGACTTTGAGTTCGTTTCAAGATAGAGCAACAAAAATACACAAAGAAATTTTTACAGTAACTTTATAACCGTCCTTTTGTCTTATAAAAGCTTGAAGCTCAGTAGATTGTGTGATATCGGTCATTGTTAAAAATGCCTTTGTTTTGATGCTACTTTTCGACATGGGAAAAGTATGTCGGACAAAAATATTCATCAAAAAATAAATATTTCTTTGCCAGTTTCAATAACGACAGGGGATTAAGTTTAGATGATAAAACAAAGGATTATGTTAATAAAATTACCGTAGGTCTAGTACATTCGTTATATGAGGTCACACAACTGGCGTCATATTCACGGTGAAAATTTGCATATTTGAGCGGTCGAACGAACAAAATTATTTGTGTAATGTACTGCAAATGAATACTAAGCTAGTAATTAACCTAGTCTATTTCACAATTTCGTGTTCCAACTCGACATGGGCAACTAGACTGTTTATCATTTGGCTAAACTATTCATGTTTAGGGTGTTCTGTTTCATGAAGGAAAACTAAACCGTCTATAATTTGGCAATGCCATTCCTTTATTAGCTATTCTATCCTGCAGCTGATCCTTAAACCAGCTTTTTATTTGCTGATCTATTTGACATCCTTATATAAAAGATTGTGACGGCCGCCCATAGAACCCTTATTCGTTAGTCTGCCCGTTGTACTCTGTCAGCGACGACTGACCCCCCCCCCCCCCCTTAGTTCCGTGTTGGAAACCACGTGATACTCCAACATCTTCCTCAGATTGTAATAGATTCTAGTCGTTCTTAGAATAAATTTTAGAATTACACGCATCTGGAATCAGAGAGACATTTGTTTCCGCAAAGCATAAATTATTCGGTGGACTTAGCAATTTCAAACAATATCTCATTGATATCTCGTTGTTGAAAAACATTTACAAGCTATTTTCTCTTCCTTTCGCATCTGACAAGGACCTGGAGGAACTGCAACAGATGATAAATATGAATAAATATTTTCATCTTTATTAACTTTCCTAACCTCTAAAATATCTGTCATTCGCTATTTACTTTTTCTCTTTCAAGGCTGAAACAAAAAGAGTCCATTTCGTTCAGTTGTTATAAATCGTGTGCTTATAATCAAGAGAAGTTTCCTTCATAATAGTGCGTAGTTATTACATGGTTCACTAGATCAATTTCAAAAACATGAAATAAGCAGAGGACAGCATTAGCATTGGACATGAAAACAAGCAGCGAGTTTCCAGAGGCTCTGTCATACAGTATATTTGGTTAAAGTGAAACAGATAGCACCTCTCGGCATCTGGGTGATATGAATTCTGCTTTCAATTTGTCTTTCTGTCACAGTGTTCTTGGTATACAGAACAGTTGCAAAGTGTTACTTAACTAAACCATCACAACCTTAGAAAACCATTTCAATGTTTATTCGTTATTCCATCCTCCTTAGTTTCTCTCAGTGTCATTCGAACGGCAACTGGTTGTGATCTTAAATTCTTCTCTTACGTTGTCTTCGTTTTTGAAATTTAAATTTAAAGTTACTCGATCGTGAACGATGAGAAGCCAAAGTTGATCGATATATGGTTACATGCATGCTAATTAAAATGTCAAAATATTGGAATATTCAAGAAATTCTTATTTTTTTTTTTTGAAATATGTAATTTTTTCGTTTTTGAGTCACTCAGAAAAAAATTGTTTTGGGCTTTCAAGTGATCAGTAAATAAGGACCATTTATTGCAGTCATAATTATTTAAAATGAAAGTCTAATTTGAAATTAAAATGAGAATTATTTGTCTAGAGGCCTCGCTTTTATTTGCAATCATGTAATAACGCGAGAAAATATCCTATAATTAAATTTCTTTTTCTCCTGCAATATAATTTTGTATGTACCGACCACTCGTTTCGAATTTTCCTTTGAATATATCTAATATGTGTCAATTTTTCCTCAATTTTTCCTATCCTTCAAAGTTTCTTTCGGACAAACGATCTATCCTCAAAAGAAAGCCATCTATTCTTAGAAACTGCGACGGTCAATTTCCTGCGTTTTTAAGACTATATACATAAACAATAGAACCCTTATGCGTTAGTCTCCCCGTTGTACTCTGTTAGCGACGGCTGACCCTCCTCAGTTCCGTATTGGAAACCATATGATCCCCCAAAATTTTCCTCAGATTCTACTTGATTCTCTTAGTTCTTAGAATAAATTTTAGAATTTCACGCATCTGGAATCGGAGAGAAATTTGTTCCCGCAAAGCATAAATGATCTCCAATTTGATGACAAAAACTTCCACCGCAATCTTTGCATATTACACGGAAATATTTCTCAGATAAAAGTCAAAACCGTTAAAAATCTCTAAGTAATGAAACCAACAAACCGTTCATCCAATTTTCATCTTTATTAACTTTCCTAACTTCTAAAATATCTCCCATGCGCTATTTACCTTTTCTCTTTCAAGGCTGAAACATATTCCCATCAAAAACAGTTCATTTCGTTCAATTCTCATAAATCGTGCGCATATAATCAGGAGTAGTTTAGTCTACAGTAGTGCGTTGTTGTTCTATGGCTCATTAGATCAATTTTAAAAACATGGAATGAGCAGAAAACGGCCTTAGGATTTGGCAAGAAAACACGCAGCGAGTTCGACAATGGTACTGTGTTTTTATGTGATATTTATTAGCATAATTAGGCAAACACTAAAGCATCTAAAACACAGTAGATGCTGAAAAATCGTGTTTGTTTCATTCGATATTCTTTTCTTTTCCTTTCAAATTACGGCTGATTAACGACCCCTAGAAAATATATCTAAGTCCATGGAAAGCAAAGTGCTTGTCGGATTGTCTGCTTTACTGCTTGCCTCACTTCTTTGACTTTCCAGCAGTAGAGAAACGGGTTCAAAGTGGAGTTAAAATATGTTAAAATATGTGCTATTGCAGCTATAACTACTACATGTGAAGAATAAGTTTTTCTAGAAGCTTGCACAAGCAACACTAAAATTGTTGGTACGTAACAAACAGCTAAAGCTAACTGCACCCACAGTGCAGTGCTCACTGCCTTGCTGTATCTTGCCATGTTTAGAGCAGTTGTTTGGCTCGACTGTTGTTGAACACGATCTTGTACTTGAGCCTGATTATGTCTAAGAGTGCGAAATATCTTTGTATACGAGGCGATTGAGATCACTGAGCATGACGGTATGACTATAATACCACACCAAAGGGTAATTCGAGTATGTGAAACGGAAAATGATGCAGCGGCTACGGAAAAAATCCAAAAGGTAGCTGTTATAATACATGTACGCTTTAAAGTTACTATTTGTCTGTATCTTATTCCCAACAACAGAGCGAGAAGTCTGTCCACGCTTATGGCCGTCAACGTCAACAAAGACACCCCACATAATGCAAAGCCTGATATGTAGACTGCGTCCCTTACGTATCGACAAAGACTCCAGTGTTCGTGAACCAAGGAGATCCAATAAGTAGCAGCGAGAGGCTGGGTAACAAGACCAACCAACAGATCAGTTGTTGCCAGACAACGATACAAGATTTTGGACGGAGGGTGAAGGGAAGATTCCTTGTTAAGGGCAACAAGGATTAGAAAATTCCCAAGAAATGCCGTGATGGAGAGGAAAATGTTAACTGCCGAGAAATAAATCGATTGTGGTTGTAACCCAACTATCGAGGAAGGGGAACATGGCAATATTCTATACGCTTCCGTCTGTGTTCCACCCTCTGTTGAGTTTGTCGTCGCAATCATTGTGCAGCTCTTAAAACGGTTTTCTTCCTTTCGCTACGGTTTTTCGGAACTGCTGGCAACACGGGATAATACTTCTTCACAGAAACCACCTGGCCAAGAAACAGTTAAATCTTATAATTCTTTTTATCATCAACACTAAAATCTTCCTCAATGCATCCTACTCGTTTTACATCGGTTGAAGGAACTGTCCTTTTAGACTATTACATATTTATAGTTGTAAACCTTTCTTGGAATTTGGAGAGTATGCCTTGCATAAATCAACCCCATAAAAGGTGTCCCTCTGGCTGATAAATTTCATTCAAGAACGCATTTTAAATAAGAGCTAATAAAACTTTCAAGGATGAAGACATCTGTTAGTTTGTTATTTTTTGATAAACCTCTTTGTAGATAAGAAAATAGGAATTGGCCAGGAACGGTATACCTAACTTAATTTTAAGGATACTTGTCGATCCGCAAAATGACGCTCCCGCTGAAAAATCGCGTTGAATAAAATATTGCAAATGTCTGTTATCTTCGGCCAAATGAGAAACTACAAAAGTGAATATATTGCAAGTATCTAGGGCACTTTGTTTGTTTTCGGACTTACTCAAACCATCTATCGACTAATCGCCTACCAGCTGTGTACCTCCTCTTTGTAAAACTATAGAGAAGATGGAGGAAGGAAATAATAAAAATTTAAATTATTCATTTCCTTCCTTCCTTACTTTGGTCCATTCAGTTGAACATCTGCCCTCAGGCTGATGTTTCACTGATGAAACTGTCAGTAATTTAGAGACGGACTGACTTGTTTGCTTAAAAAGCACAAATTGTCTCCATCCGCAAAAATAAAACTTCCGCAAAATGTTCATGGTACACGAAAAACAGTCTTGAAATTAATTCCGAGCACATTTAACTGACAACTGAAAATTAATCCATGACCGTAGATGTCAAGAAACTTTATAATTAAATTTTCGTTTTGTTATTGGAAACCATCCCCTGATCATTTTCTCTTCTTGTCGCATCTGATTAGAATTTACAAAAGGAACCACGACAGTTGCAAAATGTTATTTAACTAAACCATCACACCCTTAGAAAGCCATTGCAATATTTATTCATTATTCCATCCTCCTTAATTTCTCTCAGTCTTATTCGAACGACAGCTGGTTGTGATCTTAAATTCTTTTCTTACATTGTCTTCGTTTTTCAAATTTAAAGTTTCTCTAGCGAACGCGAAAAACTCGCCACTTTCCAAAAACCAAAAACAAAACAAAAAAAGGAAAATTGAAATACATTCACGAATTCAATTTCCTTGATCGGTGACCCTGGGGATGAAAATACGCCGATCACATGATGCTTGTATCTGCTGCAAGCATGCCTGATCAAGATTCTGCTAAGCACATGGTCTTTATCTCAAGAGGAGAGGGAGAATGAAGAATCGAAAGAAAAATTAGAAAATCTCAGATACATTCAGAAGGACTTGCGGTTATGTTTCCGGTGAGTTGAATATCATAGTTTTGCGGTCTTTTCTCGCGATTGGTCAAGCACATGCAATTCTTGTTTGTTACCTTCAAACACTGTTTGGATGCCTGTCTTGATATAAATACATTTTATGTTACAGCTTGAAAAAAAAGCTCTGTTTATTTGGTGGAGGAGTTCAAAATATTGGCAAAAGCTACTTTGCCCTTAGAAAAGTATCGAGTTCCCGGATAATAACAATAACAACGGCGCGCAAAGCACATTGGTTCAGCGTGGCCTTTAAACCCGTACTAGCTATAAAATTGAATCTAAGTCTGCTCTGGAGCAGAAATGTCCACTCCAGAAGAGCCTAATTACCCCGATTTCCATAGCATGAAATAACTTGAACACCAATTAATCAATAAAGAAATACATTAATCATATCTCTTCCGATAACTAACATGTCCTTTCCTCTTGCACTTATGGCGCTAGTTTTATTTAAACAATGAACTCGCACGCATTCGGTCTTCAGGGGAAAAGATATACCTCCATGGACAGCAAAGTGCTTGTCTGATTGTCTGCTTCACTGCTTTCCTCACTTTACTAATCTTCCAGCAGTAAAGAAACGGGTTTAAGGGGAACTTTAAACACGCTAAAAGAGTCGTTATTTCAGAAGTGACGAGTAAATGTAATGAATAAGTCCTACAGATGATCACAAGTGTTGACAATGTTAAACTTAGTGCATAACAAACAACTAATGCTAACTGCACCTACAGTGCACTGCTCACTGCCTTCCTGTATCTTGCCATGTTTAGTGCAGTTGTTTGGCTAAGCTGTTGTTGAACATGATCTTGTACTTAAGCCTGATTACGAGTGAGAGTGCGCAAAATTTTGTATACGAGGTGAAAGCGATCACTGAGAATGACAGAATAACTATTTTTTATACAATAGAAGTAACCTAGAATTATAAAATGATGAAGCAAGAATGGATGTTATCCAAAAGATAGCTGTAATACATGCGCTTTAACGCTACAATTTGTCTCTATCTTAGCCCTAACGACAGGGCGAGAAGTCTATCCACGCTTATGGCCACCATTGTCAACATAGAAACTCCAAATAACACAAAGCCAGTTATAAAGCTCGCATCAGTTACGAATGGACAAAGATTCCACTTCTCGTGAACAGGCAGCATAAAGAGGCTGGCTAACAAGACCAACCAACAGATCGGATGTTGCTAGACAATAATACAAGAGTTTGGACGGTTAATAGAGGGAAGATTCCTTGTTTAGGGCAACGAGGATCAGGGAATTTTTAAGAAATGCTATGATGGAGAGTATTATGTTGGCTCCTGAGAGAAAAGTTTCGATTTGACCAACTTCTCCCACATAAGTGGGTGAGCACATTATTTCTTTATAAGCTATCTATTTTTCGTATGTTTTTGAACTTGTTGCTGCAATCATTCTGCAGCTAATGAAACGGTGTCCTTCGTTTCCGACCAGGGTTCTTCTGGAATTGCTGGCAATATGAGATATTTAGCATTCATAGCAACCATTCAACCATGAAACAGTTAAAACTCACTTCCATCAGAGATACTATCGACATTAAGACTTTCTCGATGCATTTTACTCGTTTCAAATTGATTGAACGATTTTTCTGTCGAGACTGTTAGCGTTTCGTTTAGTTATTTGAAAACATTCGTCAGTTATTTTCTCTTATTCTTGCATCCGATCAGAATTATTCGAGAGGAACCTCGACAGCTGAAAAGTGTTACTTAACTAACCTAACATATCATTAGGAAGCCATTTCAATATTTATTCATTATTCCATCTTCCTTAATTTCTCTCAGTTTCATTTGAACGGCAGCTGGTTGTGATCTTAACCTCTTCTCTTATATTCTCGTCGTTTTAAAATTTACTCGATCGTGAACACTCAGAAGCCAAAATTGATCGATATATGATTACGAATTGCCAAAATGGATCGACAATTTTGATTTATTGTAGTAAAATACTGGGCAGCGAACATGCCTATCAAAATGTCAAAATATTGGAATATTCAAGAAATTATCATTTTGAATTCGAAATTTAAACTAAAATGTTTTGACTAGAAAGTCTCGATTCTTTCGCAAACATATCATAATACGAGAAAATATCCTACATATTTCGTATTTCTCTTTTTTCCACAGTGCAGTGACTACCAACCATTGGTTTCGAATTTTCCTGTAGAATATTCAATGTGTGTCAATTCTATCTTATTTTTTCTTGCCCTTCAAATTTTTCTTTCGGACAAACGACTTATCCTCAAAAGAAAGCCATCTTAGAAACCGCGACGGTCGATTTCCCGCGTCTTTAAGACTACATAAACAATAGAACTCTTATTCGTTAGTCTCCCCGTTGTACTCTGTAAGCGACGACTGACTCCCCCTCAGTTTTGTATTGGAAACCGTACAATTCGCAAAAGTCTTCCTCAGATTCTGCTACATTCTTCTAGTTCTTAGAATAAATTTTCGAATTTCACGCATCTGGAAGCGGAAAGATATTTGTTCCCGCAAAGCATAGATGATCTCCAATTGCATAACTAAAACTCTCACCGCAATCTTTGCATACTACACGGAAATACCTCTAAGATAATAGTCACGGCCATTAAAATATCCGAACACATAAAATTGTACAAAATTATTCGGTGGACTTAGATTCATAATAATTTCAAACAATGTCTAATTGATGTCTCGTTTTTAAAAAACATCTACAAGTTATTTTCTCTTCCTTTGGCGTCTGACAAGGGCGCCGAAGGAGTTAAACATTTTCTTTTAAGTACTTGACATCTAAGGCCGTAGAAAAAGAAAACAGAAAAATGCATATTTCAAATAAAACAATAATCTCTTGAATATTCCAGAATTTTAAGACTTTAATAGGCATGTCCACTATCCAGTACTTTACTTGCTTAATCCAAAATTGTTGATCCGATTTTGGCAATTCGTAACCATATATCGATCAATTTGGCTTCTCAGCGTTCACGATCGAGTAACTTTAAATTTTAAAAGCGGAGACAATTTAAGTGAAGAATTAAAGATCACAACCAGCTGCCGTTCGAATGAGACTGAGAGAAATTAAGGAGGATGGAATAATGAATAAATATCGAAATGGCTTTCTAATGGTGTGTTAGTTTATTAAGTAACGTTTTACACCTGTCATGGTTCCGTTCATAAATTCTGATCGGATGCGTGAAGAAGAGAAAATGATTGGGGGATGTTTTCAAATAACGAAACGAAACGTCAAACATTCTTTTAAAAGTACTTGACATCTAAGGCAGTAGATTAATTTTCAATTGTCAGTTGATTGTGTTCGGAATTATAACTGTTGTCAATTATATTCAAAACTGTTATAAATCAATAACAAATAAATAATTTGTATTATCTTCCCTTTTCTCTTTTTTTTTTCTTTATTCCAAGTTCTCTATAGTTTTAAAGGAGGGGGTGCACAGCTGGTAGGCAATTTGTAGATAGACGTTTCGATTAAGTCCGTAAACAAAGAACGCGCTCTGGATACTTGCAATTGATTCGCTTTTATAGTTTCTCATTTGGCTGAAGATAACAGACTTTTGCAATGTTTTATTGAAAACGAGTTTTTGACGGGGACGAAAGTTTGCGGATCGACAAATGTCTTTAATCAATTTAGGTTTACCGTTCCGTGCCAATTCTTATTCAGTTATTTTTTTTATCTACAGAAAAGTTTATCAAAAAATAACAAACGAACAGATGTCTTTACCCTTAAAATTTTTATCAGCTCTTGTATAAAATGCGTTCTTGAATGAAATTAATCAGCCAGATAGACACCTTTT